GGAAAAAGACGTGGAAGCCTTCTTACTCCACTTGGCAAGCATCGGTATGAAAAACACCAGGGCAATGACTTTGATGTAGAATGTAAAATTTTGACCCAGGAGGATGATATCGGTGCTAGAAAAATGTTAGAAGCGTTCTACATCCGTGTGCGAAATCCACAGCTGAACAACCGAAATGAGTGCATGGCCGTTACAAGTGAATTCCTGCCTTTCATTCCATTATGCGAATTATGATATCACCGCCCACCGCACGTATTACGCGAGGGTGAGCGGTGCCTCATTTTTCGTCAGCTGTTCGCAGAGCCAAGTGGGGATCCAGTACTGGTGGAAACGTAGGAGGTTGGTTTTAGCTGGAATCTTAGCTTGATTTGTAATTACTGAGAGAGATATTGTAATTATAAAAACTGGCAATATTGGGGTGTAAGTGGATAGACTACAAGCTGGAGCTCCGAACTAATTTTAGGTCTTGATAACGACGATTTGTTCGAAACGTCGACCAATAAAGATTCCACCATAACAAACCTGGGAAGGCAAAACAGAAGCAAGACACAATCGGAATGCCCAGGTTTCAAGAAGACCGGACATGGACCATCAACTTAAAATTGCCTTTGAAGTTCATTGCAGCTTGTTCTAAAGAATATCACTTTTTCATTGTTATTCCATGTCTTTCAATAGAAATTCCGCTACTGTACCTCCGAGTAGGTTGTGCTCATTACAATATATTGATCTGGCCTTGTATTGATCATTATTTATGTTTTTATCACTCAAAATTTGCTTGAACGAACCTGAGGCGGCGGCGCTCGCAAAAACGCCGTGGTCCCACGTGGCCAAAAGTGCCAAAACTCGCGTTGTCGTCAACGTGTTAAAGGCAAGATTCGGGATAAAATAGGGTGTCTAAAAGCGTTCAGTCATGATACTAGAGGTGGGAGGTGGTCTATAAAAGAGAAGGAAAGCAAACGAAATCACAGATTACGCCCCGTACAGAAACCTCCCCTATTTCAGCAACATTCCACCTTGGGATAGAGAAAAGGCGCGTTGGACGAGTTTCGCGAGCCTGACTCTAGTTGCTCCAGTGCCATTGACACAGGGTCGCGGTGGACCACTGCCTCAAATGCGCCCGCGCTTTTCAAGCAGCGCCACGTGGCAACGGACAGCGGAGGGTGGGGCTTGCGGACGAAGGTGTGAGTTGCAGGTCGGACGAGCTGCTTGTGCCTTTGTCGCGCACTTTCAAGCGGCAAAAGGGGTGCGACAACAACACTTGTCCGCCTGCCTACTACCCCCGGGATGGAAGAGGCAAGCGCGCCTAATCGTGGAGCGTGCCTTTAAGCGCAAGATCAGCTGGTCCCTGCAGCTCATTGCTAGAGCTAAACAATCATTAGGTTTTGGATACATTCAGTGAGGTTTGCTGAGTCGCAACCAAAATATTATCTACCTTTATTCGGCTTACGTTTCAGGCTTAGTCACCTTCGCCAGATTCTGGAAAGTCAAAGATAAGTGCGATCCATTTCCCAAACCCCATATCAAGTTCCAAGAAAAATCCCATAGACCCAATGTCTCTAAAAAGTCGATATGAATATATACATGGATAGACTTGGATACAAGTCGAAAACCTGAATGATCTCAAAAAAGCTGAGCAACCCCGACAATTTTATCTTTTACCCATTCTATAGGGCGGAAGTGGCAAGTGGCACGCTTACCACGCGAGCGGTCCGGGGATCAAATCCTGGGTCGTGAGTCGCCCGGGCCAACCAAGCCTTCCATCCCTCCGGGGTCGGTTAATTGGTACCAGACTTGTCTGGGAGGATAAAAACACTGACTTGAACATCGGCTGGCCCCCGCAAGTCATTGTATAGGCCACATCGCATTCAAACGCCACTACGAATGTACAAATGGAAGTAGAATGCGTGCCGCATCCCAAAAAGGGATTGATCAACGGCAAATGCTTTATCCTTTATCCTTTTATGCCTGTTTCAAAAAGACTGCGTCTTATAGAAGTCGATCAGAACATGATTATTATCAAAACCTACCGCACTTGGCAGCTCTATGCTGACAAAATTACATCTACGCATTCGTTTCGATCTTGGATAAAGATGTAAAGTCATGAGGTAGAGGAACAGCAGAAGAATGGCTATGATGAGACTGTGCAGAAGTCCCTCGTCTCTGCACTCCTGAACGACATACGTTCACTAGCGAGAACTGCTGTGGTCTTTTCCCACTAGTAACAGATGCCTATTCTTCCCCAATTCCTTTTGTAGAAGTGGCCTCAAAGGGAACGATTGCAATGAGTTATTTGTTATCGAGTACCAAGGCAGAGGCTAAGGATGGTGCGGTAGTGAAGAAAACCCCTGAAAAAATCGCGAAAAACCCGGAATGTGACCCTCATTCTGTCCGTTGATTTTGGTCGAGTTTACTGCTCAGATGATACCCATTAGGTGAATGTTCCCCACTGAAATATATGACAAGTCAACAAGGTACGGTCGTTGGATACAAAATGTAGATTCGCATGAAAATGGATCGCTAACGATACCAATACTCCAAATTTTAATAACCAACTTTTGCGGTTTCGAAGAGGGGCCGGTCTCAAAGTTCAAGTCCCATTGCGCTGTAACAAGCGCATCTTTCAACACCGCTCCTCTTTTGAACAGCAATCCAGAAAACTCGTCCAATCCGTCCCCTTTCCTCTCGCCTTCCTTCGTCATCTCGTCATCTAAGGCGAGAGGAGAGGGGACTTCACTCAAGATGTATTTGGTGACTTCTTTTGCTTTTTTTCTTCACCTTCGATAAACTTTGCACATCAACTTTCAATCTACATGATCGTGGGGTGTGTTTTTAAGCCCTCTATATCATAGGTTCATGCCTGGGTGCGCTGGAAGCGTTTTATGAAGCTCTCAAACAAATGACGGATCCCAGATGGACTCAACCGGCCAGCTATGGCATTCACTGGCTTGAGCCACCATCTAGGCTTTTATACATTCTGATGCCCCCTTCAGGAGGCCCATGTTGCAAGGGTGCGTCGGAGGCGCCGTAACAAGTAATGTTGCGCGCGCGACACGTGCACTACGATTCGCACCGATGGTACATAGTGCGCCACATCGCTGCGCGCGTGTGGCCCTAACTTCTGCCACCTTTACATGGGCCTGCTGACCGACACCCGTGTATCCTCAGGAGGAAGGCACAGCCTAAGTTCCTAAATTATCGCCGACCCCCCTATCATGACACCTCACCGTTTCAGCATCAAACATGACGAGGCCGGACAGAAAGCGGACAGTAATTGAAATGAAACTGCACTGTTTACAAGACTCGTCACTGTTTATCTGTGATTAGAGTTCTATTAATCACTATAAACTTCCACTCGTTTACCCATAAATTGTTCTAGAGGGTATACTTCAAGAGTGCGGCTGTTCTATGCGTGCACCCGTGACTTCCCTGGAAACCTCCTCACTCTCGTCCAACACTTCGACGACGTGACGCGCATGTACACCGCATTTTCGCACATATTAGCCTCACTTTGCACAACTTATTTAGCATTTTTCATTTTCCAAAACTCTCGGTATACTTATCGTATTCAAAGAATCCCAACCTACCACCAGTAAAGAAATTATTGAAGGAGGAACGACGGCCTTGAGAAAATAACCAAAAGGTGTCGAGATTCGCCCACGTGTCGTCAATTTGTTGAATAGAGATTTTAAAAGTAGTCCAGGCTGCGTGTTTTGAAAACTGGCCGCGTTATCAGTGGATGAGCGTTGTCAATGTGGAATGGCGTCGAGGAAT